TTCCCGTTATGCCCCGGGTTCCCCTAATCGTGGAACAACATGGCACTTTGAAGAATTTTATGAGTTTGTGAAATTTTACCATATATTTTACTAGTTTACTAAAATTTACTCTGAAAACTGTAATCGTGGAACAACATGGCACTTTGAAGAATTTTTGTGAGTCTCTTGAAATTTTACCATACATTTTACTAAGTATAATTACTAGTGAAAAGTATGGTAAAATTTTAAAAAACTCACAAAATTCTTCAAAATGCCATGTTGTTCCACGATTACATGGTTTTCAAAGTAAACTTTAGTAAACTAGTAAAATGTACGGTAAAATTTCGAAAAACTCTCATAAAGTTCCACAAAGTGCCATGTTGTACCACGATAACATAATTTTCGGGATAAATTTTAAGAGAAACTTCTCCCCTTGTATGTTTTTAATCCACAATTTTGAAAATTGATACTTTCCCAGTTGTACCAGTTTATTTGATCGCTTCAACCGAACGCTTTAAGCTTCGAGCTTCAGCTAACACTTTTATCGCCGCTGTTTAATATCGCTTACGCCTGGCTCAATAAAACACGGAAGGAGAATCGCGTGGGCAATCGCGCGGCCTTCTGTCTTAACAATACACGAAGAGCGTCCGGCAATGCCGGCCGGCATCGCGGGGATCGCGACCCTATTTTACGGTCTGATTTTACGGTGACCATGTTATCCGGCGATTCCCAGTATTGCGCGTACGTACGTGACGTATGGCGCTCTGACACATGGTCGTTGGCATAAATCTTCCTCGAGTTGACCTCTTTTTAATCGTCATCGCGCGAGAACGACTTGAGCGGCCGCGCGATAAAACTCGCGCGCGCGCGAGCCTCGCTCTTTATCCCCGCGACACGGAGCGGGAAAAGAGGGGAAAAGAGAGAAGGAGATTTATAACCCGTTTATATTGCAGCCGCGCGCTTTATCGCGGGGAAAATATCAACCCCGAACGAGTTGCGCGTCGCGCTTTCATCCCGGTCGGATTTACGAGACGCGGGCGCGCGCCTCATTGCGATACGTCGTCTCGTCGGTGTACAATCGATACGCTCGGTCGCGTCGGTCTGTCGTAATAAGAAAATCGAGAGGATGCTCCCGTAATTGATTAGTGCGCCAATTGATCCGACTGAACGACAAAGTTCCTTTGTTCCGCGTACGTCACCGCGCTCGCCGCGCGTCTCTCATCGATTCGCGTTATTCTATGCGGGATGTATCACCCCGGAATAAAACGAGAGAAAACTCGAGCGGGAGAGCGCCGCGTTATTATTGCTGCTATCGTCGCATTTATCCGTCTATTATTCACGCGAAGCCGAGCCCCGGCGATTTCAAAGCGACGCTTCTATCAGCGAGACCGCTCGATCGTCGACAAATATGAAAATTTTTCACGGATTACGTCTCGCGTAAAATGGGTTTTCCCAGCACCTTCGCCAGCATGCTCGCCTCCTACCAGCTTCACCGCTCCCTCTAGCTTCTTCAACTTTCGGAAGTCCTGCCCTGGTCTCCTGACTACGCGCGTTTCCTCCTCGTGGCTGCTGATCCACGTGGCGTTGTCGCTCGTGCAAAAGTCAAGTAACAGCACTATCAAGCTAAACGCGATTTCCACTCGTTGCAGTTGCGAACTCATTTTTTTCCCCTTACGTTTTGGAAGCTTCAACGTTATCAATCGCTACCAGTCCAATCGTCATTTGCACGACTCACACGTATCGTCGTTCGACATTGCACGCGAGATTTTGAAAACGCGAGGAGTTCCCGACGAGCACTCGCGGTTCGATCACACTTTCCTCGGCCTGTTCTCTCGCCACGACGGGCAGCGGAGAAACAATTGTACCAAAATCGTACACGCACTTTTCGCATACGATTCCGCGGGCTACTGCTCGCGCAACCCGTACGCAATGCGTTCGCTCCTTGTCCCGTAACGCACGCTTATAACGTGACGCCGGCTTATAAGATCATAGGCGGTCCAGATGGCGGATCGTTTCTTTTCTCGCGTCGCCGATCTCTTCCTGAATGATTTATAAGCCGTAGCCCCGACGACCCGTTTAACCCCAGAACCTTAAACGTCTAAAACTTATGTAAAGCCTAGACACGAGTAAAGTTTACCCGGCACATTTTCGTTTGCTCGTAATTCCCGGAAAAAATGATCGAAATTCAACGCTCTTTTATTTTTTTTAATCGACGTAGGAAACATCGAAAGAGATTATTCTGTTAATATTTTTGCGATTGCGTGAAGTTGGAAAAAGTTACAAGAAAAAAAACGGAACACATTTTTCTATAACTCACTTTTCTTAAAATTAGCCCGAGCAAATTTTATTTCGACTGGTCCGACAGTCCCCCTTTTATATCGTCCAGTAAGGGACTAACGCTTTTTCGTCATTCCGAGAGTTTTTCTATTAGACTTATTTTACAGGATCAAACGTGCTCCAAAATTCGTAACGCAGCTATTCTTTTAATTTGGAAGAAATTATTATCATGTATTCTACAAATTATAAAATGACGACGAAGTAGTACAATTTTAAAGAGAGATGCGCATACTTTTCTATATGAAAATGATAATTTCAGTTACAGCGATTCGAAATTATTACATAACGATAGCGGTGTATAAGAGGGACGGTGTTTTAAATAATTAACATCAGAGTTTTTTATTGACCGTATCTGGCAATTTTATTGATACAGAAAATTTATTGCGAAAAATATTACCTCAATCAGGGTTTGAATCTGGATTTCCCTACACTCTAGGCGGGCGTCTCAACCAATTCGACCACCGAGGCATATAAATAATAATTTTAAATAATTGCTGAAAAGATCTTTCAAGATATTGAAACAAATGTAGGTGAAACTTGGAGGAGCGATCTAAATTCAAGCGTCAGAGCAGAATTAGTTTTCTCCGTACTACGAATCAAACTCCATTTTAGAGAGAAGGATCAGAGTTGTTTGTTATTGTTTCTAGGATTTGCCGGTTCACTCCACGTTTGTTCGCGTGGGCGGAAGCTGCGTTCTACTTCCGAAAAATTCACACCAGATTGGCCCGCCGGTATCGACCGGTCTTTGTGACTTCGCGAATGAATGCGATGCGTGATGATTGATGCTGGCGTGAGCGCGATTCGAAATTGACCGTTTATAACGTTTCAGGTCTCGTAACGTCGCGGAAACGGGCGGCATATTGTTTCGTCGTGCACGTAGATGAGAATCAACTAGTTTAAGTCTCAATTACTACGGTTAAATTCGGGCAATCGTGATGAGGTCACGTCGCGACCCCAATGATAAATTGCGGTAATGGTACTTGGAAAACAATTTTAACTTTCATTGCTTACCTGTATTCGCGGAGGGGACATCGTACCTCCATACGAAAGTCTGATGAGGGGGACGTAAAGAAAAAGATAAATAAGATAATAAGCTCTAACCATTCGAGCGCTTGCTCCGATAATCTTTGCGGGATATCTTGAAGCAGGGTTTGACCCCGTTATAGTACTCGAAAGCGGTACGTCTATATATCTATATCGCAGTGGCTTTTCAAGATAGGATATTTCATATACCGCAATTTATCATCGCCCCATGTTGAAGAGCATTAAAGTCTAATAGACAGAAAATAAGAGCAGTAAGATAAGATGGATGCAATAATCTATAAAATAGCAGAGCGGAATCTCGTGGACCCGACAATTTTAACCTTCTTAGTTAAAGCTGTCCAACGTAGAGCATCGCTAAATCCAAGAGCCGAGGGCCGTTTTATCTTTTGTGTTAATTACCGAATGCCGGGCACAGTGAAAGTACGTGCCACCATTATTTCTTTTCTTCGTTTGTTATTATTACAGAATTTGTCGTCAAGTATTCTGTCCATATTCAAATTGCCTAGCGTCTAATTTCACGGGTCCGAAACCGATTTCACACATCCTTATCGCGCGCAGATGCGTCACGTTCTATCTCGTGTTTTTTTCATTATCAGCGGGGCCGTCCCGATAATATACGCGTCCCGAGTAAGTGCACTCGCGTGTTTTCTCTTCCACTCTGATCTATTGGACGCTAATTTTGGTGTCATCATCCGTCGCGGTAGGTGGAGAGCTCGATCTATAAAAAAAGCAGTTTAGAAAGCCTCCGGTATGTGAGACACGGTTCTCGTCACTCAATACATATCATTCGTAATTATTGCGCAACCACCCGTCGGAGATCGCAGGCTTTATACTACATTAAGTGGAATGCCGGCGAGAAAAACCGAAGGGTATGTTGCGTTAGATAAATCACTTTTATGACATTAAATGTTTGAGTTTTTGGACAAAATTTGTTACAAATTTTGGATCACGTTTAGACTAATAGTAATTCCATATCGGGTAAATCGAACGAAGGGAGAGCATCGTGTTTTGACCCTGTTAATATATAGCTGAAACAAAGGGAAAAAAAATTTTTAAAAGTCGACCAGACTGGCACAAAAAGTTATCTTTATTTAAGTTCCAACGTTTCGACCTCTTTATCGGGTCCTTTTCACAAGTACAATCTGGAAACAAATTTCAAATGTACATACCGCAATACAAAGAAAGGAACTTTTGGTATGTACATAAGTCCTATTGTATTATAAAGGAGAAAAATACCTAATGTTGACTGAACAATTTAATTTGTGCCGAAACAGAAGTTTATGAGTCTGTGGCAGCAAATTCATAATGTCGTATCTAAAATTATTACGGATAAAGATAAATAAATAGACAAATAGTAAGATAATAAGTCAGAGAAATAAATTAATTAAGTGTAAGAGTAAAAAAAACAGTCAAAAAGTAGATGAAAGTAAGGTAATAAGTTAGAGAAATAAGTTAATTAATAAATGAGTTTAGTGCAAGAGTGAAAAAAGTAAAAAGGCAAGGGCTCGTGGACTCACATGTCTCGGTAGTCAGTGGATTTTTAATAGCGATGTCAGTTTCTAAAATTTTCGAGCAGCAACCGTACGTTAGTGGATCTCGAATAAAACCGATTAGCAAACACGATAGGTGAAAGGGCGAGTTAAACAGACTTTACAATTCTATCGTATATTTGGTTTGAATTTTCAGTGTCCTGTCGGTTTAACGTAGTGTCATGTTTTTTAATAAAGAGCATTTCAGCTATTTCGCGTTTTCTCGTGGAGCGTTCACAGTGTAGAATTTACAGATGAAAAATCAGATGAAAAAAAAACACGTCTACGTGCGGCTACGATAATTTGCGCGCGATTTGAAAACACGCGTCAATTTCTCCTCCGTTCCCCGAGTGCTCGCGACCTCATCGTTGACTCGGCTGTAAAAAAAGAATTCATGTAATTCATGTAACGGGCCGCGCTTTTGACACGCTTCATTCCGTGGCGTAATCGCGCGAACGAGCGCGTGGTGAAGCAATTATCGTGTGCTATTAGTGAAAACGGCCCACGGCTAAATTCTTGACATACTTAGGTCATGAGGCGCCTCTAACGGCGAGGGATGAAGGGGTGAAGGGTGTCATCTGGCCCGTAAACCATTTCTTGCGGCACGCGACTGAAAAAAGACCATTTCTCTCTCTCTCTCTCCCTCCTTCTCTCTCTCTTTTTCTCTCTCATACAGCACAGATGGTTGCTTTCGTCACAAGCTAGGAGACGATTTGCTCGCGGCTCCTCTCTCTCTATTTCTTTATTTTCTGCTCAAGATTTTCAGCGGGCGACAATTAACTCGCACGACAGGGATGTGGAATAATAAAATTAAAAATCTGCACAAGCAATACAAATCAATTTGAACTGTGATATAACAAAATTGCGTTTTAGCAATACTTGCTCGCTTTTTATCTTCGCGCAAGACGTTCAGAGTTACGTGTTATAAGATGTATGGTATCAAACAATGGAGTGCACGCGCAAAAATGGCAATTTCAAGCAAACGTTTGATTGATGAAGCCTGTGCCAAGTATAATGCATAATCTTCTCATCTCTCTTCCCTGGCGAACTCTAGAGTTTAATTGCGACTTATCGTCGGACGGAATCAAAGACGGTTGAAAAAAGTGCCACGGCGATGAATAAGTAAAAGTTTACTATCGGCGCTCCCTGGCTGAATTATTAATGTCCAATCGATACCGGCACGAGCCTATTCGGCTGCTGTTTACGGTGCGCGCGCGCGTGTGTGTGTGTGTGGACGAGCGTGAGTAACGGGTTGTTACAAAGACTTGAATATGGAGAAGCGAAAGTGGAGCGCTTTTTTGTCGCGCCCACGACAGCGATGGATATCATGAATCGACGGCGCCGGGGATGCTGCAGGTGCTGGTTGCGGCGATTGGCGTTCGCCGTCTGATCGCAAGTGCACGTTTCACCCGATTAAGCACGCAGCATCGTTGAGCGGCTCGTCGATCGTTCGATTTGTCCGCTCGACGAGTGCCGGTTAATTCGATAATCGCGCTTTCGGTTGTCGACAATCGGCGAAATACGCGGTCAAGGAAGATCGAGGATTAATAAAGATAGCGAGGCGCCGTTCGAGGGAGGGAAGAGTGGATTTGGAAAGCGACTCGTCACGTCCGCAACTGTAGCTTAACTAATTTACGGAAATGGCCTTTATCCGGCCGTTAAAATTCAGGAGGGAGAAAGTCACGGGGGAGGGAAATAAAAGTTTATTCAATTATTCAAATTCTCGTGATATCCGCCTGAAATTCTAAACTCTAATCGTTATATCGTCGCGAGGACGATCCACGTAAATCGCGGCGGAGGCGAATTTTAAACTGAAACTGCGCGCGCCGGGTGAAGAGTTGTTTGGAAATTGGATTTCGAAATAGTTACACCCGGGCTGGAGAGCCCGGGACTTGCGGTAATTTATTTCGTTCCATGAATCTCCCTTTACGCTTACGTGGAGCGTATACGCGGGTAATACACAATGTTTAGTGTTTGTCGAGGGTCTTCGTGGGGAAGTATATCATTTTTATACGTCGTGTCATTTTTATTTGTTGTCGGGCATGTGCGCGCAAAAAACGAGTCTAGACGTTGGTGCAATATTTATTACATCGAATCGCCCGTAATCGCCTGCATATATATATCGGAGTATACGGGCTACTTTCCAGAAAAATTCCCTCGCGTACCGTCGCCTGAAATCCATCAAGAGACACCAAGAAAGATCTTGATTTCTTCCGGACATTCCAAGTGCTCTGTTTATCTCGCAAACATTCCCCGCTCCACATTTCTTGCATATTGCTCGAGTCTGGCCGCCGGCTGCTATTAGAGCAGCTCGCCAGTTTTAGCTTCCCGACCAATATAACGATAATTAATGCGTTTCCAAATGATTATTAGTTTATTATACATCTCACGCGGGCTTTAAATACTGTATCCGTTCGTTCGTATTTCGAGACGTCTTAATGATGTCTTAAGATGACGATACGCTCTGTGATTGGTTCACAACATTTTAAGATTGTATTTAAGAGGCCGCAACTTAGGTAGCACACAATATCTACAAAGTATCTTGTAAATATTTTACAGAGTTGAGAAAGTTACTTTACAAAAGTATCTGGTTACAGTTACACGTTACCAATTTTGAAGAGTAACGCGTTACCGTCACTCAAGAAGTAACGAATCGTCACTTTGCAGTTACTTTCTTGCGATGAAAATAAAAATATCAAATCCGCGTTTGAGTTGTAAAGCGTCGATAAAGGCGTTTATGCGCAAATTGCAAGGCCTGATGCGATCTGTGGGGGTTTAAAAAAATATAAAGTAACTATTAATGTAACTGACAAGTTAAGCCACAGTTACAGATGGAGAGAAAGTAACAAAGAGTTATCAAAACAAAGTAATACAATGAAGAATTAAAACGACCTAGGCTGGCAAATCTTTTATTTCAATAAAATTAAATTACGACGTTTCTACCAATAATATAGTATACTGGTCCTTTTCGTTTGTTAGTTCATCCAAGTTCTTTTCTTTTTCTAATCTACCGTTATTAATTGTCACCATATATTTTTGTAGATCTTTTGCTGTGACAATTGATGGGCGTAACGTAAGATATACTTGAAAAGGACCAACATTACTGGTCGAAACGTCGTAATTTAATTCTATTGAAATAAAAGATTTGCCAGCCCAGGTCGTTTTAATTCTCGGTTGTATTTCCCTCCTCACTGGCGACTTAGCATTTCCAAAAACTTAAAACAAAGTAACTGTAACCGTAACTTCGTTACAAGTAACGAGTTACTTTCCGACCCTGATATTGTATAAATATTGCGTGCTGTCTGGAAAAAGAGAAGAAACTGTGAATAACCGCCGTAATAAAATTACCATTAATATCGTTATTTAACAATATTATGACGATAAGCGCAAGGTACTGCCGTAGAGTTGATTCAGAAATGTGGAAACCTATTTGTACTCGACGCAGGATCACGCGAGCCGTGCCCGTAACTTTGAAACTCGCGCGCCGGCCGGCGGCGAGCAATGGCGGCCGCGTAGCGGCGGCGGTCGATACGAGGACGAGTCTAGGGACTCTACCACGCCCAATCGCGGCTGTCTGCGCCGCGCGCGGCCGGCGCGGCTGCGCGCCGTCTCACTCCCGCCAGTCCCGCCTGCGCGCGCCGACGAGGGCAGACGCGCCGTGTCCTTCTCCGCATCGCTACGCAAAGGAGCGCGCCGGCTCCCCCACCACCTAACCTCTCATCGCGGGCAGCCTCGCGCCTCGCGCCTCGCCGCCGCCGCCGCTCGCGGCACGCCAGTCAGTCGGTTTTTGTCCATCGTGCGGTGCGGCGCGCGGCGAACTGACGCCGCGAGAGAGCGACTTTGCGAGATTCACGCGATCGGACACACGCACCAGTGACGGAACCGTCGAGCGGACGTCCGCGCGCTCGTTCCGGTGTCTCGTGCCGCGACGACAGCCGCGCCGTCGCGTCGGGCGCGCGTTCCCCTCCGCAAGGAAGACAGCCGCGTTTCTCGCTCCGTCTCTCTCTCTCTCTCTCTCTCTACCAGCGGGAGGGGTTGGGGGGTGGAAAGAAGTGCGCCTCGTGGGCCCGTGCCGCGGCGGATCGTGACCGCGAGACCGGAGGCGCGCGGTCGGCCATTGTGCTTCCTTCGTGTCGCCGATTACGACCGCGCGTTATCTGTCAGCCTGAGTGCTCAGTGTCGGCTTATACCGGGTGAACCCGCGAGAGAGACGTGTACGTGCGCCGCAGCTCGCCGCCGGCTACTGTCGGAGCTACGCCACCACCGCCGCCGCCGCCGCCGCCGCCACCGCCGCCACCGCCGCCGCCGCCGCCGCCGCTGCTGTTGTCGTCATCGTCGTCATCATTGTTGTCATCGTCCTCGTCATCATTAACGGCACCTCCAGCCGAGCACCCGAGGTGAGTGAGACGGACAAAGACGAAGACGTCGCTCGTTCACGCTCGCGTTTCACGCGGAGCGAGACGCGAGACGCGGGACTCTGTCGGTAACGACGTCCCTCACCCTTTTCCCTCCCCCCCGTCGGCATCCCCGCCTCTCTCCTCTTCCCCGCGGATGACACGCTCCGTTCTGATCGCCGGGTCACGTCTCTGCCCCGCTCCACTCGAAATCGGAGGCTCCAGGTGCCCTCCCGAGCGTCCCTCGCGAGAGCCCAGCGTGACAGATCCCGAGCCGGCGAGGTAAGGCGTCTGAAAGAGGAGGGGAAGGGGGCGGCCGAAAAAAACGAGAGCCTAACGCTTTTTCTGTTCCTACACTGATAAAAAAATTTTTTAACTAAGTAAATTGATTTTCACCGAGGTAAACGTTTATTCTATTTGGTAATTATTTAGATTAACACACCCACCTCCAATAACCTTGGGCTTGACATATGTTGTCAAGGTTACCCTCCTGAGTAACGCTCAGAAGGATTTAGCCGGCGCTCGTTGTTTATTAAAAAGTTATAAAGAAAAGAAGTTTCGCAAATGCTATGTAGTTCACGATATCATGTAC